CCACATAAATTGAATAGTAGCAGGCATCAACTGTAAAAAGCTACTCAAAAACAGAACATTTGGGAAACTGGAGGAAGACGAAATAAGGCTATATATATATACACATTCCATTTCTATGATTACAGTTTGAACAAGAGATGCATTATGTCAAAAGAATAATGAGAGCTCTGTATGAAATCAATGGCATTCATGTGTTTTTGATAAACATAAGAGAATCTACAATTTTCCCATCAAAGGATATGAAGACTACAGACCCCAGCTGAGTCTACTCTACTGTATCTGGTTTATCGCTGAATTTCATGCAAATTCAGTATGCAGCATTAATCTTGTCAATGAAATTACTGACAAAAATGTTCATGAACAAAGGGTGTTTTTATTTTATAAGAGATACTGAAGACAAGACAAAAAATGCACACGCTGAACTACTTCGTTTCAACGATATTATTGACAAAATATGATGAGAAAAACACTGCAAGACATTAACAGGGCACTAACAATGTTTTTTGAAGATAAAAAATCTAGAAAGAATGTGAATGTTTAAAAAAAAATCCAATAATAGTAGCTAATAATGACTGAGCTGCATGAGCTGAAGGAAAACAGTGAATGAACTCCAATAAAATAAAGTGCATCACTGGAAAGTTAATTAATTAGACCCTACATATATGAGATTAATTACATAAATCCACAACATAAATATAAACAGCATAAAACTACTGTATTGCATTTAAATGAATGCAGAAGTCAACCTGAACTAAGTTACATGCTAGTCAGAATGTGCTAATCACATTGTGAATATGCTCTTACTACAACAAAGTGCTTAAACACAGACAATGAATAACTAAAAATAAAGAATTCACAATATTGGTATTCGGGTTTTCATAAGGACAATTTTCACATGCTATTTTTGTTAAATGTTGATGCATGTTTAAATTAATATATAAAATTTGTATTTGCATTTTCCCGTCAACTAAAATGTTATTTTTATCAACCAAACATGCCATGTTGAAGTCTAATTGGATTAAAAAATGAATAAACATTTTAATCAAATATTAATTAAATTTAAAGGATATTTTCTTTAAAGGGGTCATATGATGCGATTTCAATTTGTCCTTTCTCTTTGGAGTGTTACAAGCTCTTGGTGCATAAAGAAGATCTGTAAAGTTGCAAAGACTAAAGTCTCAAATCTAAAGAGATATTCTTTATAAAAGTTGAGTCAACCACGCCTACCTAAAAAGGCTCGTTCTAACACGGACGATATCCGCTTCGTCATGCCTGGAGCTGATCCGTGCTGGTCGCTGAGGAAATACATCAACTTCGCGCTGTGGATCGCCGGAGCGGCTTTCACAGTGGACGAAGCGGAGTCCAGCCTGGGGTCGTCACATGTGGTTGCCACAAGCCCGCCGGACGCATCTTCGTCGAATCCGCCGGCCGCGCCGTTCTCCTGCTCGCCCGCCACCGCTCACTCAAGCCGGCCTCCGCTCACTCTAGGCCTCCGCTCACTCTAGCCCGCCGTGTGTTTCTTTGTGAAAGCGAAACTACTTTGTTTGGCCTTCCAAAAGAGGACACGATC